TAAAAAGAAAGGAAAGGAAAAGATAGCAAAGAAAAGAAGGGAAATAGAAAGGGGAAAGATAGTAAGAGAGGAGCAATCGATATGTTACTTCATTTGTCTAAAAATGGCAGCCAGCCTCAGTCACTGTGTCCACCAGAGCTCATACTCATTTCATAATGGCCATCTAATTCCAACCATCATATTAAAAATTACCAACTCTTTTTGTCTTTTTCAACTTAACCTTTAAAATAATGGTTGTTACATTAGATGTTTTAAATAAAAATTATTTATCCAAGTTAATTAAATAATTAGCACACCAGATACCTTCCCTTTGATTTATACCACTCACTCTAACCCAATTGCCCCCCAGCCCTAATGCCCTCATACAGAGATAAACTTACAGATTTTCTGTTTGAAAATGCAAAATTCATGCAAAGCAATTTTTGCTTAAAAGATTCCTCTTAAATCTTGTCATAAACTATGCATTCACCTCCCTAATTACAAGAGATGGATGTCAAAAGAGTATTTTATGCTTTATTGCTTTATGGGTAACTTTGCCCCTCTTGACCACTAGTTTCTGATTTAATTCTCATTCTTTTTCCCCTTCTGTGACCTACCTCTTGTATCCTTCACAATAAGGTCAAATGTTAGCTCATTAATGAAGTCTTTTGTTTTTTTACTTTCCTAGAAAAAGTTCTTTATTCCTTCTATACATCATATTATTTAGAGTAGCTAATTAACATAGAGTTGCTACCTTATAATAAGTCTATCTTTTCTACAAATTCGGTAAATCTTTGAGAGAATGTACACACTCTGCTAATTAAGGAATATCCCCAATAAAAGATGGAAAGGACAAGCACGGAGTTCAGGTTTCTTGGATGCTACTTCCCCCTATACCCACATTAAGTTATACCTTTGCACCTGCACACAGAATCCCTATCCTGTCTGCATCTTAAGATCAATATATTCCAATTAATTTTCCCTGATCTGTCTACACTCCTGCCTTTTTATACCTCCAGCCCAAATAAATAAAAGAAATATGTCTAATTATCTGCTCTGTCTAAGGACTGTTTGTTAGATAGTGTTCTTTCTACAAATGACCTTGTCTAAAGCTAGCTGTATGTTAATGTCAAAGAAGGTCTGGTAAGCATGAGATGCTTTTCAGAACCACTCTGAAGACTTCTGGTCCCTAAATTCTCCCCCTAAAGATGCTTAATACCTTCATTAAAAATGCTGGGTAAGGTACTTACCTTTAGGTACTTACCAAGAACACCTGTCCCTGAGAAAAGCAAGAACTTAGAGAAACCTGTTCTTTATGCCATCTGCACGGTAGCTTGCCTGCACCATCACCCACTCTACAGAGTACACAGTAGTGAATCTCTCACTGGATTGGGAAGGAGAGGAGCCAAGCTGACCTTTAATGCCCTTTGTGATCTGATTCTGTAAAGTTTGCAAAGATGGATTTTTTAAGGCAGTTGTATAAGTTATATCTCTCCATTGGATCCTACTCCCTGGATCTTAAAACAGTATCTGCTTTCAAATCCATTATTCCCACCTGTTCAATCCCTGATCCTTACAGCTAGTTAAGCCCCAGTTAACTGACCAACCACTGTACATCGCCTGTTTCTGCCTTGTCTGGCTCTGTGTGTGCAATAGATGAAGGCTGGATTGAACAACATTTTCTCCTCCTTCGTGAGTCTTATCCCCACAACCACGGTCCCTCAAGACAAAGAAACAAGTTTTAGGTCACTTGGGGCACAAGGAAGCATGAAACCGCATGTTTCAGAGGCAAGTGAGAATAAGGCCCATTTGGGCTTCTTGGGGGACTCGTGGAAACAGTGTTTACTCCTGAGAGGTAGTTTCAGGGAATTCATCCAACTCATTCGCTCCCTCGCTACCCTGTTTCTAGTGACTCCTTAACAAAGAGAAAGTCTAAGATTTCCTGGTATTTCTTTTTCTTTGAGAAGCCTCACTAATAACAGCTACTACTTTTGAAATAAAGAATGGATATGGATTCTTAATGGTTTTCCAATTAAAAATCTACTTTCTGAACTTTGGCTGGTTATTAGGTAGTTCCCTAAGCCCAGTGCATGCATAAGCTAATACAATTTTCACAGTCACTCTGTAATGTAATAATAATACTTATTATTTCAATTTATTTTCAAGGAAACTAAGACAGAGTATCCAAAACTGTGCCTTCAGTTACACACATACCTGCCTCAGCATTGTAAATAAAGCACAAAGGGCCTGTGATAACCATGTCTGTTAGCATTGCCTTCCAAAGTTTGGAAGCAGTCAATAGCATGTAATCAAAGTCAGTTTTTTCCCCAGTGTATACAGTATATGTCTGTGGGACTGGGATCAAGAGAACAGAAGAAAACAAAAGGCCAGAAAGCATGGAAATAACTAAACAGAGCTGGGAAAGGCCTGGTACAAAGTATTGATGGATTCCATGTCAGGGCTCAGAATCACCAGTGGGCAGATGCCATGCTGGATGCCAATGCATCAGTATGCAATAACTCATTGATTTTGTCCTAGGATACAGTTTGTTCTGAAATTATAACTTCATTCATACAGTTTTTCCCAGTCTGTACTTTTACAATAGCATATACATTTACTAAGGGACAGGCAATTATTTTTCTTTAAGAGCCAGATAGTAAATACTTTTGAGTTGTCAGTTTTCCAGTCTCTATAAGAAGTACTCAACTTTGTCTTTGTAACACAAATGCAACCATTTCTAGTATGGGAAAATATGCCTAAGGTTCTACTCTGGTAGAAACATGCCTGCAGAAACAGATTCCAGATCTTATTTGGCCCAAAGAGTGTATGTGAATCAAGAATTTGGCAGTCCATACATGGATGCAAAACTTATGTATATGCATAAGCAACAGAAACCCCACCCTCCATCCTCCCACTTCCCACCTCCCACCCACCTACCCACATGAGCGCGCACGCACACACACACACACCTTTATACCATTTTATTTTAAGTAACGTTTACTTTATTCTAGTGTTTTGAGAATAACATCAATTGGAATCATCCCTGAGAAAAAACTCTGTCTTTCCCAGAAAGTAAGCATGCAACCACAGCTTCCCAAATGCACAGAAAAAAAAAAAAGACTTATTCTCATACAAGCTTTCTATTCTTTGGATTGGCATACTTTTAAAATTTTCATTTTTAGTGACTTCTATTGCTACATCCTGACACAAAAAATATATACACAGTGTACTCTCTATGAGTGGATTTGGCAGAGACAACTTCATAAAACTTGAAGAGGACAGAAATCAAGGAACAAATGTCGTTTAAGCATCCTGAAGATGGAATAAAAAATTAATCGTATCATCTCTTTAAAAGGGAAGAAAAATGAACTGAAAATAATGTTAAACGGATTATTACTTTTCCAGAAATGTTTATTCCATTTTTATGGATAAAAATATATAAACTATTGCCGCTTTGTGGGAGCCTAGGCAGTTTGGATGCTCACCTTACTAGACCTGGTTGGAGGTGGGTGGTCCTTGGACTTCCCACAGGGCAGGGAAACTTGATTGCTCTTTGGGCTAATGAGGGAGGGGGCTTGATTGGGAGAGGGGGAGGGAAATGGGAGGCGGTGGCGGGGAAGAGTCAGAAATCTTTAATAAATAAATAAAAAATTTAAAAAAATATAAACTATATAGTATCTGAAATCTTCTCACTAAACAGTTGTGAGTGCTAGCCAAATTGAAACAAATCTGTTAGATATGTGAGATCAATATTACCCATGCTTGTCAGTCTTTCTTAAATATAACACTCAGGTATTTTTGTTATATAATGGACAAAAGAAGTCAGAACACTACTGCTAGAAATTTTATGATCCATACACAATGTAAAAATTCACAAGTACCATGAGTTCTTCATAAACCAGGCAAATTGGAAAATACATGGTAGGCCATATTCACCATTGATTGAGGGTTGCATTCTGGGGAAGATGGGTCCATAAAAGTCTATGGCTCACAGAAACCTGTGTTTCTTTTTGATTCTCAGGACAATAGACGTTCTGAGGGAAGAAAGATTAAGAAGAAGGAGGAGAAGGAGAAGAAGAAGAGAGAAAGAATATGAAGTTGGGTCATTATAAACGTAGGGAGAATAGGGGAGGAACAGGAGGATAAAATCAAAGTACACTGTATAAAAATTCAAATAAAAAAGGTTAAAAACACATAAAGTTTGGAAGGAGAAGTGGTGGGGGGGATAGGAAGGAATTGGATAGGAGAGTGGGAGATGGTTGTCTTTAAGACACATTACATGTGTGTATGAAATTATCAAACAATAAAATAAAATAGACCTGTAAGGGGCTTGAAAACAGGGAGGCGAAAGTGCTCCGACTTCTCTTTTTGCAGCTTTTCATGGTTCACAAGGTAGTTTCTCACAAAGGAGGATGCGTCCACGATGTTTGCTGCTTTCCAATGTAAAGCGTAGAGCATGGCGGTATTGCTTACTTACTTAGACCTCCAGTCACCGAGGCACCTTTGTTTCCCACCTCCACTAGGGGAAGTCTCTTCTCCTTTCAACGTGTTTGATCACGGTGTTGCTCAAGAACATTGAGCTCTGAGTACTTTGCTTTTCTGTATCATAGCTCACTGTTCGCCATTTCAACATGTGTCCAGTGTGTTCTTCCAATCTTCCTGTAACTAATCTCAATATCTTCTGGATCTTTCTCCAAAATCCAGTCTGAACTGCAACCCCATAAGCAGCCTAGAAATTAACACATTTCAATTTCTGTCTCCCTAAAAATAAACTGAACTTGATTGACTTATTTTGCTGTGTTTATTTCCTCAAATTTGTGTCCTCACCCACTCCCATATTAGTAGATTCAGGGATCATATTTCTTCTCCAACAGGTTTTAGATTTGTTCTTATCAAGGACTACTTTCATTGACTATTTCACATATTATTATCGAAACATCTAGTTTAAGATTGACATAAGTAACCAGTTAGATCTTGCAATTTTCAAATGGGTCAATTATAAATATGTAGACTCTATAGAGTCAATTCAGCAAAGCCTTAATCCTCTGTTTAACCCTCTTAACAGCTTCCTTCACTTCCTTGTTGCGAAGGGTATAAATAATAGGGTTGAGGAAAGGGGTTAGAAACGTGTATACCAGGGCAATAAGCTTGCCTCTGCCCTCAGCTCGGATCTCTGGTGGCCCTACATAGACAATGAAGGCAGAGCCGAAGAACAGAGTCACTACAGTTATATGGGAGGAGCAGGTGGAGAAGGCTTTGGCACGGCTGGCAGCTGAAGGCAGTTTCAGCACAGCTTTCACAATACCCCCATAGAGTCCCAAGATGAGGACAAGGTTGCATGTATTGATCATACCGATCACAGTAATATAAACCCGAGCGTGCCAGCTTGTGTCCACACATGCCAACTGCATGACTGGTGCGAGGTCACAAAAGTAATGGGCTACCTCTTTCAAGCAATAGGGTAACGTGGCAGTGAGACCGGCAGGCACCAGGGCAGCTGAGAAGCCAGCCACCCATGTACCGGCAACTAGCCGTAGCTGTACCTGTCTGCTCATGAGTACATGGTAGTGAAGCGGGCGACAAATGGCCAGGTAGCGGTCCAGAGCCATGACACCTAACAGGTAGCACTCAGTCATGCCCAAGGAATGGAACACATACAGCTGGACAAAGCATGCAGTCGACTGGATGGGTTAATGTCCTTGGAGCAGGGTATGTAGCAAGGTGGGCACTGTGGTGCTGACATACCAGAGTTCCAGGAAGGAGAGGACACTGATAAAGAAGTACATGGGAGTGGACAGCCCTGAATCTGCTTGAACAAGGACAATGATGAAGAAGTTCCCTGCAAGTGTGAGGAGATAGATGCACAGGGTTCCAAAGACCGCAAGATGTTGCAGGGTACCAGTGGGAGTAAAACCAGCAAGGATGAAGGTGTGGGTCCAGTTGTGGTTAACATGATCCATGATTCCTGGGAATGAGAGATCAAGGCACCAAATGAGCAGCTTTAGGCTTTTTACTCTTGAAATAAAAGATGAGATGACACAAGCAAAGAAATAGCACAGTCTACCCAATACATTCCCTCTAGTCTATAAAAGAGGAGTCAATACTAGAAGTCAGGAGTGATTTGCTCAATATCTGTTTCTTTCTCCATGAACCACCAATTATAGACTATGAGAGAAGAGCCTGGAGGCTAGAATTTTCTCCTTTCTGTGTGAACAAAGCAAGACAAAAAATAAAAACTAAACAAGAGGTAGGAAAATTCTCTCTCATCCACCTACCATATCTAAGGAAATGTTCCCATGATGTTATGAAATAATGTCCTGTACTATATACTGACTCCAATGACCAGAGTGTAGTAGGAAAAAGAGACTTGCTTTTTCAAAGAGCTAAGTCTCACTGGGGGAGTCTCTTGGAACTCAACAAAGTTCTCATCAAAGATTGAAAGAGGAAAAGATTGATTAATAAAAAAAAGCTATCTTGGGAGAATTTCTCAAAGGTTACGTATTTGGCACAACATGAATAATCAAGAAGACTCCCGGATTTTTTTCTGGTTGGATCCTAACAGGAGACAAACTTCAGGATTCTGCAGGAGATAGGAAGGAAGGAGACAGTATTAAGCAGGCCTCGGGGAGGTGCACCAAGGGCACCTTCTTCAGGGACTGTATTTCTAAATTTGTTTTACTAGCAACTCAAAGCAAACCTTGGGCCAGACCATGGCTTCCTCCTTGTTTGAACTTCTTTAAGTGAAGAAGTTTAAGTTAGAGGTTCGTGAAGCTCCTTACAAGTTATTCGTCTGTGATTCTCCAGTCATTGACTGATGTGTGTTGGGTTAGCATGGAGATGCATCATCTACATCAATGTCCCTAGAGTGCCACTCCCATACTCCCAGGGAAATTATTTAGAAAAGGTAAATGTTGCTCCCTACTTCTCTTCTTCAGCCACTCTTACCTCTTCTGTGCCAACTCCAACCATCACCTCGCTGCTTTGGTTACAGGAGAACTAGTCGCATCCTTCCTGACATCATCTCTATGTCGAGATAGTTCCATCCTTATAGAGCATGCTCCTGGAAGTGCAGGTCTCTCACAGACTCCTTAATGAATGTTCCCTGGGGCTGCTATGATTACCTCTCAGTATGCATCCCCCTGGGCTAAGAAGTTGGGCTCAGAAAAGTGAGTCAAATGAGACATGTTTCTCAAACAACTTAGTCCTGCAATCTTCACTTTGGAGTTCTGAGATCAAATCCCAGGGATATTGCCTGTTTTGCAATGACCATATTACATGTCATTAAAGAAACAACCCAACTCTCACATCCTCATCCATGCATGGAGAATAATAATTTGGGGATCCCGGAAGAGAATTGCCTCTTGAAAACCTATTGGCCAGAATATTTGTCATTATTCACCATTTGCCTTACAATCTAGCAACCTAACCCACATAGGTACCATCCTTTTCTGTTGAACATCTCCATCTTCACGCCTCCTACTATTACCCGACACCAGAGTGACCACAATTAGTTCATTGTTCCAACCACTGCTTACCAACTATTGAAAATACTATTTCCAGTTTTAATTTACTGTTAAAATTATTGATTTATGTGTATTGTGAATACGTGTGTCTATGTTTATGTGCACAGGCACGCGGGTGTCCCCAAAGGCCAGAAGAGGGCACCAGACCCTCTGGCACTGAAGTTAGAAGCAGTTATGAGCTGCCAGAATTGGATGCTGGGACTTAAACTCAGGTCCTCTGTATGAGCAGCAAACCTTCTTTACTGCTGAGCAACCCTTCTGGCTCTCCTAAAATGCTATTCTAAATACAGTATTTTATAACCCCAGCAGCAGGTTTGCTGCCAGTACTCAACCCAATCCACCACCATTTTACCCTGGACACAGTAATGAGACAATCTTGGTTTTTCATAAAATGTTTCTAGTCTCATTTTTTTTCAAAATTCCTTCTATCAGTACCTGAACTTTGACCTCAGCTGAGTACTGTCTCCAAGTGTGTACTCAGATTCAGAGTCCAAATAAATTCAAGATAATCGCATTTATCCATTGAGTGTGAGTGTAAAACATTTGACTTTAGTAATTGAATTAAAGGTGCTTACTTTTTTCATTTCAGAGCAAGAGATAAGTGCAAAGTTGTTAAATTAACCTAAAGAGAAGGAAATAATTATGTCTTGTGGAACGATAGCCGTAGGATGTCCATGGCTCGAGGCCAAGCAGGATGTCCAAGAGGACTTTTGATAAGGGTCCATCCCTCTTCCCAAATAAAAAGTCTAGACAGGAAGCCATTGATAATAACTTTTAAAATTGTGGTAGGGATGCCAGAGTGTATCTCTCCATAGTTGATGGCTTCTGGTAGGGGTAGTGATGGGGAAGGACTCAGTTTTCTTTAATGGGTTGGTCACTGGGCACTTGACCATGTTCCATTGAGTATATGAGCAAACACAAGACAGTACTGTTTTTTTTTTTCTTTCCTCTTTATTTTGGAAAGAGGTTACAAGAGTGGGTGTGAACCTAGGAGTAATGGAAAGTGAGTGTGATCAAGGTGTATTATGTGAAATGCCCAAATAACCAAATTAAAAAAAAAACTATGTTGGAAAAAGAAAAATAAAAAAGAAACAAATCACATTAAGTGGACATAAAATACATAAAATCCCTGAGACTTTAAAAGCTTCCTGTGGGAAGCATAGCATTGGAGAGCAAAGCATAAAACACACATTGTTTCTAAATGCTAATAGAATTCCATGATGGGCAGGTTCTAGATCTTACTACCTCTGAAATACCCGACTATTCACTGGGATAGATAAGTTGCAGCAATCCTTCAATACAATGCTGTATTTTCTACAATTCCAAACAAGGGACCACGGTTTATCTGAACCCTGAAATTAACATTGGGGCTACTCAGAGTAGCAAGGTAAATGCTTTGACATTCACCTTCCCTTCATGTCGCATTTGTCCTTCCGCATTTCCATGTTTGTCAGCCAAGCTTTGAGAACTGCACATCATTTCTACATTTGATGTGATATCTCCATTTATAAGTCTGAAAGCATGGTATCCGCTGAGTAGATTATACACTCCATATCTCATGTCTCTCAGGTTACTAATCAGATACAAATACCTGAGCATAGAGGTCAAATACTTGAGCATAGAGGTAGGAGATGCTATCTAGCATCAAGTGGAAGAGGCATGTATACCATAAGTTAAAATCAGAAACAAAGAATGGCTTTTAAAATCATCTATGTAAAAATTTTATGTGAGATAGGACATACTAAGTACAAAACTCATCAGCTCATTAGTAAATTTTCCAATAATGCTTATGAAAAATTAGACGTGAATAAATAAATGCTTTATAAGGCTAGGGACATTTAAGAAGAGTGAGAAAGAGAATCCCTAAGAGCCAGAGTTGGTGGATGAGTACACCAAACTGTTTCCTGGACGTAGTAGGGCAGATGCACATATGAACGCACATCACTTATGACATCATGCATAAGACTTGTATAAGATCAAGCCAGACCAAATCCCAGCATGGAGGGGAGGGGTGAATACCAAGTCCTACTCTTAGCTGAGGCTATTTGCAACTGAGGGGGGGAGGGACAGTTTTCTTTAAGAGCACAGCCCCTCACAGGTCCATCAAGATGCTGTGGAAGGCCATATATCCAAGGATGTATGGGCAGCACAAACAGAACTTGATGGGTTTAATTTTTTTTCAAGAAATGAATAAAGATGAGGCAAAGTTGAGTTGTGTAGGGAAGTAGAGTAGAACTGGGAGGATGTGGGGAAGGGTGAATGAAACCAAAATCCATTGTCGGAAACTTGCAAACAGCTAAGGAAGATGAGGAAACATCATGAGTTTACGTGATTGTAAGTTTCTCTTCCTCTAAAAATTTATCACGCTGTATTTGTAAATAATACATTATTTTAAAATTGCACCCTATAGGTTACAAAAATACTATCAGATACAGGTAAAATGTACCTGATAAATATGAAAATGATGTCATAGGTCATTCTGAAAATTAATTTGCCAGGCTTGCATTTAGTGAACAGGGTTCTTACTAATTTCACCTTTCTTTGCTACCTAATGTACTAAAGTTAAGACAAAGTACAAATATCCTGCATGAGGAATGCTGGTCTTACCATAAGCATTACTGCGATTGGTGTGTTCACTTTTAGTCCCGACCTTTTCATCCTGTCTGTTCAACTAGAGTCATTATTCACATTGGCAAGGTGGCTATGAGCTGACATGGATATTTAGTTCCATACATCACATTAGGCACTCGTAAAATGGGATGCTGTTTGTTGTACAAAATGAAATATACAACACTTCCTGCCAGAGACAGCCTGAGAGATTCCAGATCCCTGAGGTGTTGTCTGGCCACTCAAAGGGCATGTAGAGGGTTGAAGATCCAGTAACATTATACACGAAGTATATAAATGCTGTTTGCATATTTTAAAAAGCACTGTGTGATGATAGCCTCAACTTACGTTATAAGGAGAAAGACCCCAAGACGGTTAGGAGATAAAACAATTGCACAACAAAAGGCAAAGGTAGCTTAGAGTTTTATGAGTAGATTTATGAAAGGCATTTTCTCCTGAGAGAGTTAAAGGAGAGTATTATAATATTTGCTACAGTTATTTGACTTTTTAAAAAGTCTGTTTATTTGTTCACATACTCATTTATCCTCAAATATAAACGAATAAAAATCCATGGTATGGTATTCCTTGCTTTCCTCGGCTGTGATATGACTAGTTCTAGCTCCACAGCCGATACGTAAGCATCCTATCCTATCACAGAGCATGAACCTCATAGAAATGGAAGCCCATAGACTTAATTACAGTGATGCAAGTCACTACCAGGACAAATAGCTCCCAGAAGATCTTTAGTGCTAACAACACAGAAAACAATTCTTTGGAAATCACAGTCGGTAGCCTATGTGAAGTTAGAGGCAACGGAGACAAAGGATGGG